ACGAACAAAGTGGTCTCAACATACTTACGGGGACAGAAAGCTAGAACTACATAAACTACCAGTATTTCTATCCTTGATAGCAAAGGTTCAGAAACAGGTCAACAGAGTTGTGCGAAGCTGCCATCTATAGCTGGGTATCTGACACGTAAAACAGATATATGAGCCCAAGTCATACGTGTATAATTTTTTCCTTTTGTCTTTTTGAGACAGGGTCTCGCTACGCAGTTCAGGCTGCCCTTGAGCTCACTTTGCAACCCAGGCTGACCTCAAACTCACAAGGATCCTCCTGCCTCAGCCTCCCAAGGGCTGGAATTATAGGCATGTGCCACCACGCCCAGCCATATGTGTATACTTTTGTTCAAGCCTTGGAGCTTAAGATAAGAACAGACCCATGCTGTGTGTCAAATCAAACTCTAGTGGTTATAGGTAGACAGGCCCATCATCAACAGCAAAATTTATAGCAACTCTTTACCCCTTAAGAGTCCCCACAGCATGCCCATCACTATACCATTCACTCTGCCTTTATGGAGTTAAGAAACCATCTGGGAAGATCAGACTAAACAGTTCAAGAAACACAATGTCAGCTTCGTGTGGTGGCACACACCTGTAATCCTGACACACACCTATAATCCCAGCACTCTGCAAGACTGGAACAGAAAGATCTCAAATTCAAACTGAGCCCAGCATGGGCAATTTAGCAACTTGGTGAGACCTTGCCTCAAAATTAAAAAGAAAAAAAAAGGGGCTGGGAATGTCAAAGGCTCTGGGTTCAAGCCCCTGGGGAAGATTAGGGAGGGGGGTTGCCCTGTTAGTACAGAGTATCCCTGCTATCCGGTAATTTAAAATTTTTTTTTAAAAAATCAGTAAGCTTTGAGATAGGGGGGGCAAAAAGCTTTCACAAGAGATACCTTAAAGCTGGACTGTTAAAACTGTCGAAGTTGGGGTTAGTAGCCAGGAGAGCCTGTATTCATAATCAAATCCAGTCTGCCTAACTAGCCTTTCTCTGGCCAAAGGTCTCCCTCATCCTCACAAAGCACATCAAACCCTTCTGGGACACACAATTCTTGATAATTCTATTGTTTCTCCCACTTCCTGGAATGTTCTTCCCCTCTTTCTCCTGATGGGTAACATTAACCCTAGTATACAACCAACACTCCATAAAGCATAGTCACTGTGTAAAACTTCTTTTTATTATTTGAGATCCAACTGAAACATTTTTCTGGTCTTTCCCAATTCCCCAGAATTAATCTACTTGTCTCTCCATACTCCCATAGCATTTATCCATATGCTTTTATTAGAACAATTACAACCATTTATGTCCTTTGCTCCCTTTTTTCTTTCTCTTTTACTTGTCTGAACAAGAATCATCTTTTAGACAAGCGTGGTGGCGCACGCCTGTAATCCCAGCACTCGGAGGCTGAGGCAGCAGGATCACTGCGAGTTTGAGGCCAGCCTGGGCTACAAAGTGAGTTCAAGGCCAGCCTGAACTGCATAGTGAGACCCTGTCTCAAAGAAAAAAAAGAATCATCTTTTATACAACTCTTTACCCCTTAAGACCTAGGCATATCTGGCTCATAAAAGGTGCTCTTTATATATCTGTTGACTGAAGGCCCAACTGACCCAAATTTACAAAATGGGTAACACTAGAATTCTTTTCCCCTTCGGTATACTTAAACAATTTCACTTTGTCAATGCCCAATGTATGTCTACATTTTTATGAATGTCTGCGCCATAATTACATCAACAATTCATACAAAAAAAATTAAAATGGATTCACTAAAGATCACCTAGTGACTAGTTTTTGACAATAAAACTCTTCATCAATGCCAACTAAAATATAAACTGAGGATTAATTTAAGTGATAAGTTAGATACTGTGGCTGGAGAGCCTTCTCACTAAAACAGGGCCACAGCTTTGCATGTATTCTATTGACAGGTATTTATATTGGCTTTAGTCACAGATAGTGGAGGTTATAAATTTAGAAATCCAATAACAAACCCGAAGTTTATTTTCAGAAACTTTCCATATGGTAGGAGTTTCAAGAAGTAAAACAGCAGCCCTTTTCCCTGCTGAAAGCAGAGGGTAACAGAGCGCCAAAAGAGCAAACCCTGTCCTGACTCTGATCTTGGCAATGCTCAAAGCAGAGGAAGAAACGTGCAGGGCCAGCAAAAGCCTCTCTGGATATCTGGGCTACTCCAGGCCTAACTACTAATTTTATACATGTTCACATTCATTTAAAACACAATTTGTGGCTTGGAACTTTAAAAATGTTCTAATGTGCTAGTCTGTCCACATATTAATCAAGTCTGCCAGGTTTGAACATGCCAAGCTTAAAATATCTCCAGATCTTGTGCAAAGGTATGAGCTCAATCTTTTATTCTCAGGAAAAGGAACTCAGGGGAGAATGACTAAAGCTAAACATTTCAATGGAAGCTATGATAGAAAAAGCTCCTGCATGGTGATGAGTTACATTTTAAAAATACGTGAACAGAAATAAGATACAAGCTAATGACAGATTTCTTCTATTAATCTCAAAATGAGATCTTGGATTTCAGTTTGAATTGTCAGAGAAAGAACTGTAATTTCTACATGAGACCATCCTCTATAAAGGTTGTTTTAGTCATCCACTGACTAAGCCCCTTTGGAATCCAAATCTAGCTCACTTTATATTGAAATGAATTCTATTTTTATAGGAACAGTAATATAAGCAAAGTTCTTTCAATCTTTTATCAGCTTTGGAAAAATGACAATAAAACCTGGAATGACTAAACTTTTATAAAGAAAACCTCAGATATAACACATCAGATCCCTTCATTTTCATCTGGGGAATGCAGCATTAAGAGTCCAGTGACTTGGTAAGAGAAAAACTGGGACCAGAATCTGATTACTAGTCCAATCAATGCACTTATTCTATTACAAACTAAACACACAACTTTACCAAGACAGAAACTGTTTTAGAAATTACAACAGAAGAAAAGTGTAAATATCCATTTCCTAAGTAGATGTGCCCTACAGATTTGGAAATATCCCTTTAAATATGGGCAGTGGGGGAGCTACAGGTTTGGTTCAGTGGTAGAGCAATTGCTTAGCATGCACAAGGCATTAAGTTCAATTCCTACCACCATCCAAAAGCAGGAGGGCAGCAGCAAAACCATGGCAATAACTTTCAATGCTTTTGGTTAGATCCATACTTACATGGGATCTCAACTTAGAAGTTTAGCTTTGAAGTTTTCCTTTCATTCTACAGGGGATGGGAATAATTTTTACACTCTAAAATGGCATTATCCTTATCCGTCAAACAATAAACTTCCTACAAAAAAAATTCACAGAAGAATTCAGAGTTGTTTTTGTTTGGCTTTTGTTTTCTTTTTTGAAAAAGGGTCTCACTAAGTTGCCCAGGCTGGCCTCAAACTTGCAATTTCCTGCCTCAGCCTCCCAAACAGCTGGGATTACAGGCAAGGGCCACCCAGGCCAGTGTCTTCTCTCAAAAAAGGAGGGAAAAATAATTCCCATGTAAGTGAATGAATTGTACTTTTCAAGTAGTCAGCCTCAGTACGGTACAGTTACATATCTCAACAAACTGAAAACCTATGGAGAAAATATTAATCTTACTCTGACTCCTGTTTGCCCTTTCTTCTGCACCCAAAGAGAGCATTAAAAGGACCTGGCCCACTACAGCAAGTAATGGGTCAGAAATGCCAGTCCATGGAGCCCTCTCAAATTGCTCTACAGGTGGCACTATCAGAGTTTCCAAAGAATCAAGGGGAGCCGGGCGTGGTAACGCACAGCTGTAATCCCAGCCCTCAGGAAGCTGAGGCAGGAGGATCACTGTGAGTTCAAGACCAGCCTGGGCTACAAAGTGAGCTCAAGGCCATCCTAAACTGCATAGCAAGACCCTGTCTCAAAAAGGAAAAAAAAAAGAATCACAGGGAGACCACAGGGTTCCTTCATGCCCACACTGTTCTAGAATAGACTAGGAAATCTGCAGGGAACAATATAATCCACTGCCTTGTACAGCCACCGAAAATCTTTCCATCCCATTTATCAGTCTGACTTGTACACATTTTTGTTTTGTTTTAGTGCTGGTGACTGAACTCAGGGCTCTGTCCATGTTAAGCACACTACCACTAAGCTACATCCCAAGTCCTCCTTGTACAGATTTCAGTACAACATGTGATTCAAATAATAAGGGGAAATGGAAGCAATACCACATATCCTACAAAGGGAGGGAGGGAAGGAGCAAACACTGAAGACCTCTGCAGCCCCACTGGTCAACCCAGCATTCAACCTAAAATGAGGAAGGTACTAGAACATTCACAGTACTTTACAATATAAAACTAAAATCTCACATCTTTTGCTTAAAAGAAGAGTTTCAAATTCTATGAAAGTTTCCACCTTTGTCTTCATCTGCCGGATCCCGTCACAAGCCATGGTAGCATATATTTCATTGTATAAAAATTCAGACATGGGTCTGTAAGCCTTCTGTATTCATGGATTTCACCACCATGGATTCAACCAACCACTGACCAAAAATGCTTTAAAAGAGCTGGGGCAACAGCTCAGTGGTAGAGCCTGCTTAGTATGTTTAAGGCCCTGGGTTTGATCCCCAGCACTACAAAAAAAAAAAAAAATTGGTTTTAAATTGAAAACAGCTGTGTGTGTACTGAAATACACAATTTGTTTCTTCCCAAGTCAATATACACCTAGCATTTACATAGGATTCAGAACTACAAGAAATCTGGAGATGATTTAAGGAATACAGGAGAATGTGTTCAAATTACATACAAATAATACACCTTTTATAAAGGACTGGAACATCTGCAGATCTGCAGTATCCATGGCAATCCTAATCCTTCATGGATACCAAGAAACAGACTGTCAACTCCACACATGCAGGTGTAGCTCCTGCTTTTTCAGACTGCAGAGCAAAGCCCACTTTAATTTTCAAGTATCTGAACATCTCTCCTTCTACATGATTCTCTTAGCTGGTAGATGCCTACCTGTAGAGATGACAGGTGAAGAGGAAACTGCAGCAAAGCCTCTAGTATAACTGGAATTATGAGAAATAGAATTACAGGAAGGAGTCATTTTGCCCATCGATGTTCTAAGTAAGAGGAGAACTGTACATCTCAAATCTGACTTCAACACCTTTACAGCAGTCGACTGTGTTTAAGTAAAATAAAATGAACAATTTTTATTTTTACCATAGTATTTTAATTTTCAAAACATACAACGTATTAACTACTTTTTTTAATCAAAGAACATAATTAGGTACATCCTTTCCCATATCAGTCACCCAGTACTCCTCAAAAAACAGTTTTCAAGTTTCTTTTTTTTTTTGGGTCTTTTTGAGACAGGGTCTAGCTGTGCGGTTCAGGTTGGCCTTGAGCTCACTTTGTAGCCCAGACTGGTCTCGAACTCACAACAATCCTCCTGCTTCAGCGTCCCGAATGCTGTGATTACAGGCGTGCGCCACACCCAGCTCAAGTTTCTTATAATCTAGCATTTCTTGGTGATGGACTCACTTTCCTATGCTTGTAAATTTGGCTACAGGAGAAGAAACAGAATGACTTAGCTGGTTACTGCTGTACAAGAAAGTACATCTCCACCGCCACTGCAGTCTGCAACCTGCACACCAGGGCCTGTGTTCAGTGTGTCACATTTATGCCCTCCCTGTTCCTATTCCCATTCCCGTGTCTACACATTCATATCCAAGAGAGAGGGTGTTTTGTGTGCATGGGGGTGAAATATACAAATCATTTAAATCACTTTTAAGTATACAATTTAGTAGCATCTGTGCACTCACAATATCATTATCCTCCGATGCCTTTTCATCATCCCAAACAAAAATTCTGTACCCACTGGACACTAACGCTCCATTCTCCTGACCCCTGATAACATGCACTCACTTTGCCTCTATGAATTAGCCTATTCTTGGAACCTCATACAAGTGAAACCACACAGTATTTTTCTTTTGTTTCTGGCTTGTTTCACTCAGCATAATAATCACAAGGTTCACGTATGCTGTAGCATGCATAACAACTTCATTCTTTTTTATGGATGAATACTATTCCATTGTATGTGTACAGTACACCCCGTTTTGTTTATCCGTTTATTAGTCTGATGGACATTTGGGTTGTTTCCACCTCTTGGCTACTGTAACAACAGGAAAATACTGTGAACTCTGGCATACATGCATCAGTTTAAGTTCCTGCTTTTAATGATTTGGGGTTCATACACAGCAGCAGAATTGCTGGGTCATATGGTAATTCTACATTTAACTTTTTGAGAAACCAGAACTGTTTTCCACAGCAGCTGCACCATTTTACATCAATAATACACAACTTTTCCTCCTTCACAACACTTCATTTTCCCTCTTTGCCTCTTCTGTAACAGCCATCTTAATGGATATGAAGTAGTATCTCCTTGTGGTTTTGATTCATGTCTACTGCTTCAAGACCTTTTGTACGTGAACTGTGTTCTGTGGCACTGATCCATCTCTACCCCACAAAGAAACACCTGCCTCTTCTCTGCCACTCCCTAAGTGAGCCACTGCCACTTCAAATCTTGTTCACTACAGGGACCACTGTACTCCTCTCTTCCTTTTCTGGAATATCTTTTCACTATTTTATTGACTTTCTTCTCAAAAAACACTACTTGTAACCTGACAATGCCAGTTCAACACAAGCAAGCTTCTAGTGGGAAGCCACCTCCTCACAGCATTTCTGTACTTTCTAATCTTCTGAGGAATCACCAACAATGCTCCACAGCTCTTTCTGGATTATCTAACGCACTCTTTTTTCCTGGTTTTAGGTTCAGTATTCTTTTGAAAGACAAAAGAGGATTGGTCTCTGGACAACCAAAGCTTGACAACGGCCAGTCTAAATCTACCTACATATAAGCAGAGATGAAAGATCAATACACTAAACCTCTTAATCACCAAGAACACAAAAAAAGTTGATCATATTTGAAATACTTTTATTTTGAACCCACAATAAATTGCTCTTCAAACGTTAATGGTGCCTGGAATACAATAAGCTTTCAATAAATATTTGCTGAATGAATAATTTAAGGAGATAATATGGCAGCCAAAAAAGGTTTGGAATTAGACCTAGACCTGTATTCTAACTCATATCCTAGCCATATGACCTTCAGTTAAACACTTAGCTTCTGTGAATCTCAGTTTCCTCCTCTTGTAAAGTAACTGTGTAGGTTACAAAGATGCTACTGTTGGTACACTGTTGGGTATTCGTTGGTACTGGGTCTAGGTACCATCAAAACACTGATTTAAACACAAGAAACAGTTTATCATATATTCAACTATTTTATGAGGCCCTAGGTTTGATCCCCAGGATCAAATATGGATCTTACATGCTATTGGAGCAGGAGGGTGAAACCAACAAAACAAACTATATAAATCTGGGGCTGCAGCCTGCCTGGCAAGCGCAAGGTCATGAGTTTGATTCCCGGTACCCAAAAAAACCCAAAATAAATAAATAAATAAAAAATGTTTTTAAAATATTGGGGGCTGGAGAATGCAGCCCAGTGGTAGAGTGCTCACCTCCCATACAGAGGTCCTAGGTTCAATCTCCAGCACTGCAAAAACACAAAAAATAATAAACTCAACTATCTGCCACCTTGGCTATCAGATCAACTGATAATCGGTTGTTTTCATATAACCCTTACATTACTTAATGATGGCCCCCAAGCCCAAGAAGTTATTTTAACAATTTTATTACAATATATTGTTATAATTGTTCTATAATTATTGTTACTTATCTTTTACTGTGCCTAGCTTATACATCAAATATTTATCATAGGCATATATGTTTTCTGTTTTTTGAGACAGGGTCTTGTTATGCAGTTCAGGCTGGCCTTCAACTCATTATGTCGCCCAAGATGGCCTCAAACTCTCAGCAACCCTCCTGCCTCAGCCTCCCAAGTACTAGAAATATGGGCATGTGCCACCACGCCTGGCAGTATGTATGTATTTTTAAAAAACAGTACATACATATATAGACTTCAGTTTTAGGCATTTATTGAAGGTCTTGAAACATATTCCCTGCAGATGAGGGGGACTACTATAATTTACTTTTGGTTTTACACATGTTGAGTTTGTGCCAAAGGGCTCTCCAACATTCCCAAAAGATATATATGGTTGGAGATAAATATAGATGATGGATGGATGGATGGATGGATGGATGGATGGATGGACGGACGGGATAGGTATTTGTGTGTGTGTGCAGTGCTGGGATTGGAACCCAGGGCCTTGTGCAAGCAAGGCAGGCACTCTACCACTGAGTTATAACCTCAGCATCATTTTACTATCTCATAAGACATGATAAACCATAAATTTAATCTGGCCAGACAGTTTCATAACAAGTTCAGCAGTTACTACATAATGACAAATAAAACACTGCATAGTTTGATATTGATTAATTCTGCTTTTTTTTTTTTTG